GAGAGAGAGAGAGAGAGAGAGAGAGAGAGAGAGAGAGAATTTTGAAATTCCCGAAACTAAGCGGAAATTTGAGACCGATTTTGCATTATTCAAAATAGGAACATATTTTTCCAACAATTTAATCAAAAATATTATTATGTTTACAATTAATTTAAAAAACCTGTTATCAGAAGCACTCAAGCACTTTGGTATTGTCAATACCGTATTGAAATTCAGTTCTAATATTTAGCAATAAATCCACAGTAGTATTGATATTGAATAAAGAGATCCAATGCTCACAATAAACAAAACACTAATCTGATAATCCGTAAGCTTTTAAAAAATCAAACATTGATTGCAGATATGAATTGGAGGTCAGCTCTCGTACACGAAGTCCTGTGGAGGGCTGACAAGGGATTGCGAAATCATCGACAATATAAACAGTATATCGAATGGAAATGAGAATTATTTATAGATTATGTGAGAAAAGATGTGATTAAAGACATGAAAAAATCCAATCGACTCGAAGATCAAAATATATACACAATTAATGATATCTTATGAAAAGAATTGCATACTTTTTTCAACCATTAAATTATTTTTAAAATGTATGAAATTTGTTGTCAACTTTTGGGCAATGAAATGAGGTCTTGGTTTGTGTCACATGAAAGATCTAACAAGACATGGGATATATTTGCCATTTTCTAGTGATAATCGGTGCCCAATGTATGCAATTAATCAATCAGTAATTCAAATGAAAGGCATCTCATCGGCACGTATTTCCTAATCCCTATTTGACATTGAAGTTCATATTTATAAGAAACACTTGCAAATCGTTTCTTCTAATAATACAGTATTAATATCGAAATTATAAACGCCTTTTGCCTTCAGATCTACTTTTTTATAATATGAATATCGCCTCAAGAATAATACAGAAAAACTTTTTAAACATTTATAATTAAACTCTCAAATGTGTCCATTATTTCTCAAAAGGCAAAAACATCACAATTTCAAAATACATTAATCTATAATTAAAGTCATTTTATAAATTATTTCTGTAGTTTTTTAAGTAAAAATGTAATCATATTTTATAATAGCATTGAGTTTACATTGTCTGTAAAAGTAGTGAAAAAATGGCATTGAAATCCATGAAAATTACTTTAATTTTAAGTTTTCAAAAGCAGTCTTATTTGTAATTCAAAAAGTTTGAAAATTAACTCAATGTTTGTCGTAATTAGTCTATTATAAGAGGATTTAATGGGTTTGAAATTATATCACGAGTAATGTTAGCAATTCTATGATAATTGTGTATACATAACATTGTGAAATAATATTAATATACAAATAAAGGTACAAATTATCTTAAAATATACTTACAAATCAATTGATAGCCAGAATATATTAACACTTAAAAAAATATATAAAATAAACAATTGTTTAATAATACTTAAGGAAGAAGTCGTTGAATGTGTCGCAAACATGAATTGTTTTATATTTCATTTGCACTTTTTTGACAATAAAATTTGCGATAAAAATAAAACTGAAGACAATTTATGTCTGTTATTCGTAATAAAAGTACTAACTCTTCATCACAACCAAAGTATCCGTAAAAATAATATCAATTACCGTTTTATAAGTCCTTTTCGACGATAAGATTGTGATAATAGTCACACAAAACAAACATAAAAAATAGCGACGATATGAATGATTATAAATATATTTTATAAGTCAAATGATTAGACAATTGTTTGCAAAATACTGTTTCTGTCATATTTATTGTAAACGTTTTTTTAGTTTTCATACTTTGTTTTTTGACAAATAAAAAGAGTAGAATATTTTTTAAGTAAATAATTAAAAACAATTTCAACAATAGATTTGAATTAATTTAAATTATTTTGTAAAATAAAGTGTAATTTAAATAATAGCGATGAAAATATATAAAAGTCATTCAGTCATTAAATATAATTCGAGGGGAACTTAAAAACACAGTTGGTTTTGGTGTGTAATGTGTTGGTTGTGGTGTATGTGTCATAATGTGTGGAGACATAAGAAAAACAAATAAAATATATGAAAATAAAATGACAAAACATTTTTGAAAGTCAATTACAAGTAATAATAAAATTAAGGCTTAATGAATTACATCCACCAAAATATAATCTGAATTAAAATATATACAAATAAAGAAATAGATATAGAATAAGAAACTCTGAGATAAATACAGATTAAACTTTTGATAATAGAAACTCAAGAATTGGTTCCTAATTGTAAGCGAGAGGAAAGACATGACAATTATATAATGATTTGTAACAAACAGTTTTCAATGAGATGTGATTTCAAAATGTGAGATAAAAATGTGAATATACTGTATAATGAAATGGAGAATTCAATTCAAATAACATTATCAACGATTTGGTCACAAATTTCCAATCAATGTAACAATTAATCAAAACAACGGTTTCATTCAAATTACAATAATTTAAAAGTATTTTTTGTTTGTGTTTCAGTTTAACAATCAATTTATATTGAGTTATAATCTGATGTCAATTGCAATAATTGAAAATAAATAAATTTAGTTTTAATTTAAGTTAATTTACAAATAATTATTACTTTTCTTTTCTACACATAAACTCTCTGTTAAACAACTCAACTCTTCGTTTACCGCTTACTTTCAAATACAATAACATTTGTCTCAAACGTAGTCTAAAAATATATTATAATTTAGATTTTAAATTTATTAGATCTCTTTCTCGGCAATAATTATATATATTATTATTATATAAGTTATAAATCTTTTTGATTGTTAGTCTCTCTTTCCTTAACATTTGATTTCAACAGACTATACATAACTTCTCAAATCATCGTTTGCTTTCTTAACACACATTCTCTTAGGAAGAATGCCATCAAAACTAATTACACAACTCTTCCAAACATTTTCATTAATGATTATTTTTGTATGAGTTTTATGTGTTTAAAATTATAATAAAAGATGATTTCATTAGTAGTAGTATATAAAGAAAATACTAAATAATCAAATTATAGGTAAAATCCTTAAACACTTTGACGAACTAATCCTTAATAGTAACGTATAATTTAAAAATTTCATTAAATAATATCAATCGTATGTCGAAAACACAATTTAGGGATCGTTCCCGGACTCAAGCATTGACATCAAAAAGTTGTCTGAAATTTAAATAAAAACACAATTAGTTTACAAAATAAAACATTTAATTAAATTAAGACTAGAAAACAAAAGACTGACAAAAAAGCGAGAAAAGAAAGAAAGACTACAATAAAGGGGACAAACGAAAGGGGAGGACATGTTTCTCATTGTGTGAGTACAGGTGTGAAAAGTACAGGTGAGTACATAATAATGGGACGCAATTCATGACACATACCTATCGCTTCTTTCTTACCGATAGGGGAATCTCCCATAAGTTTGTAGAAAAACAAATGCTCCAAACATTTGAGACCAATACTCCTGAGTGCCGGCAAACGTAACAATAGTTTGGAGAATCGCCCTGGCTGATCCGGGTAACTGTGCTTACAGTACTCCTCCAGTACGGCGTACAGCTTCTCGCGTAGTGTTTCCACCTGTTGTACTGATTTCAGGTTTTTTGCCTCTAAATCATTATTGAGAAATTAATTCATTAAAATAAATAAAATGTAAAAGTCATTACACGTCATAGAATTAAAATAATAAATCAGTTGTTTATATGAAAGAAATATGAATAAAAAAATCTGCATATTTTATGTGTCATTTAACTCAGAGAAATATTTTTGCATATAATGCCAAAAATGAAAAAACAAGATAATTATTTTATAGTTAAGCTTATTTTCGTAACCAATAATAGATAATGCTTGGCCTTGTGATGGTAATGATCACGTGATTGCTATACTTTATGCTAAGGTTTGCCGACTATAGTAAATAATAGATAACATTATCAAACATTATCAACAATAGATGTCATTATCAACGGTAAATATTTTGGGCATTTAATATCTGGGAAACGATAGTTGGTTTGGATTGGTGTCCAAAACGCTAATTCAATAGTTAGCGGACTTTGCGGTCATGTTTAGTGTGGCAACGCATACAACGCATACCTGGGTTGAAGAGGACGACTGCCCGAAGACACCCCAATTCCGTTCTATCCATTTTCATTTCACGCATTTTCGCCACTAATTCGGTGAGCACTCTGTCGAAGATAGTGCCGACACCAGCGCCGTGAGCACCGGGTCTGTTGACGATCATGTTGTTGGCAAACACGATGCCGTCCTTCACATTCATGGATCGGTGCGAGAATTCGGCGATAAGTAATTCATTCCAACCCATCTTCAGGAGAACCATTTGGTCCTCAATCGGCAAATCCGTGAAATGCGGTATATGTTTGGCCCACTCCACCAATTGGTACAGTTGTCTGTCCGCCGCTTGTAATATACTGGTCACCGGTTGCTATCCGAGAGAAACCAAAACAAACATTCAAAGCCAAACCAATCAAACAAATTATGAGACAAATAACAAATACATCATCTTTTTTAGGTTCAATTCGTTGCTCGGCTTCACAGATGCGCTCAATAGGCATATCGCTGCCGCAATTACTGGTGGACTCGACTTCGTTGTCGCCCTTGTCTTTGGTCCTCTGCCTCTCCTCCTGAACGGCTTCCCTCTTCATTCCCATTTGCAGACATTTCTGGTACCGACAGTATTGACAGCGATTTCGTTGTCGTTTGTCGATAATACAGTTGCGTTCTTCCCTACAGGCATAGGACAGGTCTTTTCGCACTGTCCTCTTGAAAAAGCCTTTACATCCCTCGCAACTAAACATCACAAACAAAAACATTCAAAGGCTTATCCAGTGATTGATTGAATGGCAAACCTGTAGACTCCGTAATGTTTTCCTGAGGCTCTGTCACCACATATGGAACAAAGATGTTTGGATCCGCTTAAGGGATGATTGGGTGGATATCGTCCTCCAGATTGTGGAGATGACACTTGTGGTGATGAGACGGCCGGTCCGTTATAGTTGTTGGAGAGTGTGCTCTGATATGGAGATTGAGGTATAGAACTGGACGGCGACCCGCTGTTGGCCGACCCGTTTGAACCTATAGTCATCAATAATGCCATTAACTCACAGTTTGTCACCAAATACTCTCACAAAACACTTTTTCACAAAACATAATCAAAAATGAATTTTCATTTCTAGTATTAACGAAATGAATATCTCGTCGACGACTCGATTGCATTGCATTGTAAAAAGCTTTTTCACATTTAGTTTTCACGCAATGAATGTGATGTATATTTATGGCCAAAAAAGGATTGCATACCTGAGTGTTGTTGGGGCCAAGTATTAGGACTCTGTGTGCCATACAGTAATGCAGTGACGCTAAGCTTAGGTCTCTCTTTTTTGTACATCTTTTAGTCAATCAATTAATAAACTATAAAAACTCTATATATATAACAACTATAGATTCGTATGACATATATGTATATAAGTGTTGCAATGTATATATAATATGTGTATAATTGGTGTTCACTTAAAAGCTATAACAAAGAGTAAAACACTGATCGCAGACCAGAGAAGAGGCGATAAAACTTCATATAAGAGCCAAAGAGTGATTTCATTGAATTCCGAAACTACATTCAAATGTGACATAAATAACCTTCATATTCAAGGTTTCAATCCAACTATAAATATATTCAACTACACTAAACCCTCGCACAAACGAAATTCACTAATTAGCAAATCTACTATGTTATCCGTACAGCACTTTATCAACTCATTTGAATCGCCCAAAATGTCACGACAGACACACACTATGTGTTGAATGTGACCATCAGTATCGACAGTATCCACATTCATCAACTCGTCTTCACAAACATATTGTGTTATGTCTTGCGATCGCGTTCTCTAATCGAGGAGAGACTGTATGTTATGAATTGAAAACCTATTGACACACGACTGCTGTATGTTTGATATAACTTCTACAAGCATTTGCACGCAACTGTACGCCCGATACTGTCAATATAGTGATGACCTTTAAGGCTTATTAGGGTCGGTAAATTGCTTTACGTAGTTATGCAATACACTGTAGACGTAGACTAACCACCACTACATCACCACTACATCACCTCCACTGCTGTACAGCCAGACATGGATTGTATACAAGACCGCAGTCAACAGTGCAGTCAAGACTGTGCAGTGAGTACAGTGTGTGTACAGTGTGTACACACTGTAGTGCCCTAACGGCCACCCAATTTAGATGGCATTATAAATATACATCACATTTAGCTCATAATACACATACTATTAGCGATAAGATTAGCAAAACAGTGTCATATCTAGCACTGCAGGCCTTGTGTGCCATTTTGTGCCAAATCACACTCTCTGTTGTGTTATTGGCATCAAATGCAGGGCATATCGGGTGCTGAGGGCTCGACACTCACCGTTGGTCTCGTGGACGTCCATCGGGTGATATCAGTGATGGTATCGATGATGATATCGATGGGTCAGTGCTGGCGGTGACCGTGTGTTGTATGTATAGATGATGTATGTATTGTACGATTTGGTGGTAATGTTTCCAAACACAATGTAGTCGTAGTGTTTGTGTTCATACACTCACACAACACATACATAATATTACACACAATGTATTGGCCTCACAATGCATTCACTCAGCGCTCAGCACAAGTCGTACACTCTATGCCTATTAATAATGTTGTCTGAGTTGTCCTGCGCTGGCCTTGACTCCAATGTTCACTCCATTTCAATGCATTCAATGCACATCCCATACACTCCCATACAAACCATTGCCATACACTCTCAGCACTCACAGTACAGTCCCTCCCCTAACCAAACATCAAGTCTGTCATACTTTTCGTACTAAACCTGTCTCTCCCCCTTTCTCTCCCAAATGCATGTCTTCGCTCATCTTTTTCCTCCAATTCTGTCCTTTTTTAATCTTTTCTCTATTTATACCAAATTTTTGTTGTATTTTTAACCACAATTCATTAATTAAGAATATGGTTTATAGGATCGTCATGTCCCCCTCCCCATCCTATGAGATTTAACAATGTTAAATTAACATGTTAAATCTGACTATACTTTAACACGGGGCTAATGTTAAATCTATGGGTAATGTTAAATAAATGGGACTCTTTGATCTTAACCCGAATTGTGGTTAACGCATGGCGTATGACATGTTTTACTATAAAATATTTGGTCACTTTTTTGCCAATAAAGTAATGATTAATAAAAGTTGCGGACATCTAATGGTGTCTTCAAACTTATAAACAATATTTATTAAACAAAACATTTTAACGTTTAAAATAAATGATTCAAAACTATAGAAAATACTTGACTTTACTTAATATACTTAGTTATCGTTAATATTGATTAGGATGTGAATAGCGATGACAATAGTTATCAAAACATTGGCCTTCTTTTATATATCTTGAGATACCATAAATAAAA